TCCAAATAGTTTTTCCCAGCATACCTCTCATGTGTACATGAGGTTCATGTACAAGAGAGGTACATCTCGTGTATATGCTGGGAAATAGGTAGGGAAAAGGTGTCCACTGGAACCTTATGTCCATTTGTTGTTTGCAAGGGTTCAGATTGGGCAGGGCCTGCCTGGTTAGTGGAGCCTCTGGTATTAACTAACCATGGGGCCTTTGCTAAATGCAGCTCCCAATTTTTGAAAGTCCCTCCGCCCAGTGCCTTCAAGGTGGTTTTAAGCAGTCTGTTGCACTGATCAACTTTCCCAGCAGCTGGTGCATGATAGGAATATGGTACCCCCATTCAATGCCATGTTCCCTAGCCCAGGTGTTGATAAGGCTGTCCTTGAAATTAGTCCCTTTGTTGGACTCAAGCCTCTCAGGGGTACCATGCCTCGCACAGGATAGGTTTCCAACCATCCAGTGGTGGCCTCTACCATTGTGAGCACGTAGTGCTTGCCTTGGCGGGTTTGAGGCAGTGCGATGTAATTGATCTGCCAGGCCTCCCCATACTTATATTCGGACCACCATCCACCGTACCAACAGGGGCTTCACTTGCTTGGCCTGTTTGATCACAGCGCACATCTCACAATCACTGATAACCTGGCAGATGCTGTCCACGGTTAGATCCACCCCTTGGTTTCATGCCCACTTATAGGTGGCATCTCTGCTCTGACAGCCTGAAGCATCATGGGCTTATCGAGCTAGGAAAAACTCTCCCTTATGTTGCCAGTCCAAATCTATCTATGATATCTCTATTTTTGCAGCCTGATCTACCTGGTTTGTTGTTTTGCATCTCCCTGTTAGCCCAACTCTTGGTGACATGGGCATCCACACAGCAGACTTTCCTAGGTAGCTTCTCTACTGGAGCAGCAATGTCTTGCCATTCCTCAGAAGCCCAGACAGGTCTTCCTCTATGCTGCCAGTTGGCCTTTATCCACCTTTCCAGCCAACCCCACAGAGCATAGGCTACCATCCATAAATCCATGAAAAAGTATAGCTTTGGCCACTTCTCTCTTTCAACAATGTCCAAGGCCAGCTGGACAGCTTTGAGTTCAGCAAGTATTGAGTTCACCTTCCTCCTTCAGTAGTTTCTGCAACCTGTCATGTGGGGCTTCATACAGCTGCTTTCCATTTTTTATTTGTCCCTACAACAAGGGAAATGTTAGTGCAAAGAGCATGCCGTGTTTCTTCCTGTGGCAGTTGGTTGTATGGTGGAGCTTCCTCAGCATGGGTCACCTGTTCCTGCTCCTCTTTGTCAGTCAGACCAAAATTTTCTTCTTTGGGCCAATTTGTATTTATTTCCAAGATCCCAGGGCAATTCAAGTTTCTAATACAGGCACACTGTGTGATGAGGGCAATCCATTTGCTTCATGTGGTGTCAGTAGTGTGGTGGGTAGAGGGAACCTTTCCTTTAAACGTCCACCCTAGTACTGGTAGTTGGGGTGCCAGGAGGAGTTGTGCTTCTGTGCTGATCACTTCTGAGGCACCTTGGACTTCTTTATAGGCTGCCAGGATTTCCTTCTCTGTTGGGTTGTAGTTGACTTCAGAGCCTCTGTAACTTCAGCTCCAGAATCCCAGTGGTCAACTTCGAGTCTCCCCAGGCACCTTCTGCCAAAGGCTCCAGGACAGACCAGGGTTCCTGGCTGCAGAGTAGAGCACTTTCTTTACCTCTGGTCCTGTCCTGACTGGGCTAAGGGCAACTGCATGAGGGATTTCCTGCTTGATCTGGGTGAAGGCTTGTTGCTGTTCAGGACCCCAGTGGAAAGTGTTCTTCTTGCGAGTGACCAGGTAGAGAGGGCTCACGATCTGACTGTACTAAGGGATGTGCATTCTCCAAAAGCATTCCTATGGCACCTAGGAAAGCTTGCGTTTCCTTCTTGCTGGTTGGGAGAGAGACGTCACTGTGATCTTATTGATGACCTCAGTGGGTATCTGATGCCACCCATCTTGCCACTTCATTCCCAGGAACTGGGTCTCTTGGGCAGGTCCCTTGACTTTACTCTTTTTGTTGGCAAAGCTGGCTTCCAGGAGAATCTGAATTATTTTCTCTCCTTTCACAAATACTTCTGCTGCCGTGTTCCACCATGCAATGATGTCATCAATATACTGCAGATGTTCTGGAGCCTCACCCTTTTCCAGTGCAGCCTGGATCAGTCCATGGCAGATGGAGGGGCCGTGCTTCCACCCCTTGGGCAGTCGGTTCCAGGTGTACTGCACGCCTCTCCAGGTGAAAGCAAACTGAGGCCTGCATTCTGTTGCCAGAGGAATGGAGAAAAATGTCTTGGCAATGTCAATGGTGGCATACCACCTTGCTGCCTTGGACTCAAGCTTGTACTGGAGTTCCAGCATGTCCAGCACAGCAGTGCTCAGCAGTAGAGTAACTTCATTCAAGGCATGATAGTCCACATTCCATCCCCATTCTCTGTTAGGCTTGTGCACGGGACAAGTGGGACTGTTGAAGGGTGAGTGGGCCTTACTGACCATCCCTTGGCTCTCCAGCTCACAGATCATCTTGTGCGATGGCATCTCAATTCATCCAAAACTGCTAGCGGTGCGCTGTTGAGGTTGCAACTGGGACATGTTGTTCCTCCACCTTCAGGAGTCCAGGTGCAGAAGGACTCTGTCACACTCCAGGCAAGGTGTTCAATTGCTCAGTGTCCTCTGCCTCCACAGCAGCTATTCCAAAAGCCCACCTGAATCCTTTGGGTCTTTGTAAGAGCCACTCCAGAGGAAATCCATGCCCAGAATACAAGTAATCTCTGGACCAGTCACAATAGGATGTTTCTGCCACTACTTCCCAGTCAAGTTCACTTCAACTTCCAACAGGGTCAACTGCTGCAACCCCCCTGTCACCTCAGCACTAGAAACAGCTTCTGCCCCCACATGTCCCAATGGGATTAATGTGCAATGTGCTCCAGTATCAACCAAAGCTTCGTATTTCTGTGGTTCTGATGTGCCAGGCCATTGGATCCACACAGTCCAAAAGAAACAATTCTCCCATGCCTCTACCTCTGGCTAGAGGCAGGAGCCCCACCGCATCAAGTAAATTGATTTGCAATTTATCAGGGAAGAAAATCAGCCCTTGGATCACTGTGGATTTAGAAAAGTTTAACTGTCACTTTACCTAGAGGAAGAAATTTTATGTAAAATCTTAATTCTATTCTGGTTTATACCTTAAAGCACAACAGAAATCAAGATAAAGACTGATGAATGATAGCATCACTCAGCTAAATGAAGAGTAGGATACCCTGGAGCAACAAAGCATGTCAGAGTGAGGACTGGTTACAAGGAGCAAGAGGAACACAGCACAAATTACGAGTTTTGATGAGAACCCCTAATATTCCGAGTGGTACAGACAGAGGCTGTGAGCTGAGACCAGTGTAAAACTGGGCCCAAGCCAGAAAAGCTGGAGCTGTGTTAAATTCTCCTGAAGTCTGGAGACATTCACAGTCAGTCCTTTGTCTCAGGCCTGTTTTAAAAATCTCTACTGGGTTTAAGTAATGTGGAAATGGTTTGAGCTCAACAGTTACACTTAGTTCACTCACTGACAACTTTGAAGGTGTTTACTTCTTTCCCATGATCAGTCTATCTTTTTGAAATTATTTGTCTAGACTCTCTACTTCTTCACATTTTAGATAAACATGTAATTTCCAATGTTATTAAGTGATCTTGGTAAAATTTGCAACAAGCAAAATCTCATTTATACAGTAACAACTTGCTTTGCTAATCATGGATTAATCTCAAAAGTGGCAGAGTTGACCCTTATTTAATGAGGTTAAAAGACTTGGCATACATCACAGAACAGACCTATGGTAAAGCTGGAAGTCATGCTTGTCCACCTTAGGGCAAGTCCTAAGCTTTAATCATTAAATGACGTAGATTTAACAAGACTGTAAATAGATGTCCTATTGCTGCTTTAAACTTGATATTTTTATAAACATCCTGTTTCTAGAGGCCTTTCTTTTTTTTTATGTATTATTTTGCCATAGTGAAGATTACAGCATTAGAGTTTGTTTAAGTAGTATGAAACATCTTGAATAAATGTGTATAAAAGCAAGAGAACAAATTGGATTTGCATTGTCAGGAGACTACTCAGAAACTCTAATTTCAAAATAACCTCAAGGAGGACTTGCTAGAATGTATGACACTATTTTTTTAAATATTGTCTGCTAAATCAGAGCTCTTGGAAACTGTGATGGAAAAGGACCCTGAATACAAGAAAGCAGGTTGGTTGAGTAGATGCTTAGGTCAGATCTGGAGTCTCCCACCAGAACTAAAAGTACCACATGGATGTGTGATGGACTGTAGTGAAGAGAAGGGATCCCAAGTAAGGAAGTCCATGTTATCAAAAAGCTGAAGTTTTCCCTGTCAAGAAGTCCTGCCCAGAGGGAAGCAAAATCTTCATTGTTTTGCTTTCAAGAACAGCCAAGAAGCGGAGCCCAGCAAGTCCACCTCAGTTTGGAAGCAAAAACAGGACAAGCATGGATTTCCATCCAGATGCTTTATCCTCAATTCCCTTAAAGGCAATAAAATGCTCAAGGCAAAGCAGCTCAGGGTTAGGTAAATGGTTGAAGGGTCTTTTGACTCAAAGAGCTAATATAGTATAACCAGAAAAAAAACCAAACACAATTAATTACCTCATTTAAAGAGGAAATACAAGCAGAACAGTACGATAACGACATTTTTATTAAAATAATGTAATGTGACTTTTGTTAAATAAAACCCGGGATCCAGCAGGCAAGACTGAAATGCTGGAAGGGCTGAGCCCGGCACTCCTGCTCTGAGGGGAGAGGCATTGGGTGGGTGCTGGTGTTCCCGGGGCGGGGGATCGGGCACAGGGATCGATCCCGAACTCCCCCCTCGCGAGCGGGGCTGGGGCGGTCACGGCGCTGGGCACGGACGGGAGGCCGCGCTGTCGCCACGGCAGCCGCTGTGCGGGGGCGAGGGGGTGGGGCACGGCTAAACCGGGTGAGAACCCGCGGTGACACGGCTTGACAGAGCCACCGGCGGGGGACACGGGCTGCCAGAGCCGCGGGGAAACAGCGGGGGACACGGGCTGCGGGAGACGCCCAGGGAACAGCGGAGTATTCGGGCTCCGACACTCACCGAGGTCATCAGCGGGGGACACTGTTTGCCACAGCCACCGGGCCACCGGCGAGGGACAAGGCTTCAAGGTTTGCCAGAGCCACTGGGCCGCCAGCGGGTAAGCCGGGTTGCGGGGCAGCGGGAAGGGTCCCTCCGTCCCCGGGCAGTGTCACCGCACCCCCCGCGCGGAGCCTCCCCGCAGCCCCTGCATCCCTCACCTGCCCGCTCAGGTGTGCTCCAGCGTGGGGCTCAGAGCCCCTCTGGTCCTGCTGGTTTCCAGGTGAAAACTCTGTGCGTGTACTAATTTATTAATTTATTGCACGGCACTGGAAGATGGATCTGTGGGGATCATTACCTTCCTTTCCATTCAGTTTTTCTGATTTCGGTATTCGCTGATTGTTCTTACACTTGGCATCCTTCCACTGGTTCAAACTCACTCCTGCAGCGCTTGGGAAAAGCTGTGTCCTGTCACTGGTTTGTCCGAACATTGGAGACCATGGATTACTGACTCAGATGCAGCAAATCTAATTACACTTATAGCAGACAGGGTTGGGATGGACTGGGATCCCACAGTCCTGGAATAACAAATTTTATTCCCTCCCTCCTCAGAATCATGGCTGCCATTGAGGAGCGCACCTTCATTGCCATCAAGCCTGATGGGGTCCAGAGGGGACTGGTGGGGGAGATCATCAAACGCTTTGAGAAGAAAGGATTCAAACTGGTAGCCATGAAATTAATACACGTAAGCTCTCCTCAATTGCTGTGTCTACTTTTTTATATCAGTTGTAGCCTTCAAGCATAGCAGCATGCTGTAACAACAAATGTGGCCTCTGTAACATTTAAAACTGAAATTTTGAGAAGTTGTACTTGGGATGTTTTTGGAAAAGTTCCAATTCCCAGCTCTGGCTAAATGCTTTAGACATGCTAAGCACACTAATTTTAGTAACCTGATGCCCTTAGTCTGAAGAGAATATTCTTTCAGGTGCCTCCTATGCCAAATAAACATCTTTGAGTATCTTTTACAAATCCCAGGTCACATAAACTACCTGCATGGACAAAAAAACTTTTCTAAGTTTAGTTGTAGTTAAAGCAAACAGTTCAAATTCATATAGACCAAAAGTACTCCTAGGAAGGTGCTGGAAATACTGAATTTTAAAGTGCGTGCCAGTTTCAGGATTACCAATGCTCTGTGGTTTACCTCTGTGATTTCACTATGCTCTTAAGCTCTTATTGTAAGCTTTTTTCTCTGTCTGTCTGTTTTATAACCCAGGCCTCTGAGGACCTTCTGAGGGAACACTACATTGACCTCAAGGACCGGCCATTCTACGATGGCCTGGTGCAGTACATGCACTCAGGACCTGTTGTAGCCATGGTGAGTTCCTGTCAAGGAAAACCACACTGCTTGATTGTCTTCCCTGCAATGAGATTGTGTTACCTGCTGAATTCCAGTTTATTTTTTAAAGGATTTTAAAATCTGGATTTAAATACTGTGATTAGGAAGATGTGCTGTTAACTATTTTTCTTTAATATTTTCTCATAATCTTTCTCTCCTTTGAGTCAGTTTTTTGAGGAAGAGGGCAGGGGCAAAAAGGAATCACAACCAGGACCTTGAGAAACAGTAAACCTGCACAAAAGCCTCCCTCTGAAATGCCATGTAGTAAGAAAGCTGAAAAAGGATGGTGGAACATTTTAACTTTAGTTCTCTTTTTCTCCTTGATAATGTATTTGTAAAATAGTTGAGGCCTAGCTATCCCATGAACAAACAGCTCTGTGAGACTGTTTGACATACTGAGATGGAAAATGGTTCTCTCTCCACCCTTTGTGAGGAGAGGGACTGTAAAGAGGGGGACCATGTGAGCAGATGCTTCAAGAATCTGACAGAAGAATTGGAGATAAATTTGTCTCACTGTGACAAATATTCAGATAGTGATTTGTGCCATGATGGACAGCCCTGTGTTCTTGTGGATGGTATAATTTATCTGCTGCTAATATTTAATAATCTGAAAGGATTTTTTTTTTCTTTAAGGTGTGGGAAGGTCTTAATGTGATTAAGACTGGAAGAATGATGCTGGGGGAAACCAATCCATTCGATTCCAAGCCTGGCACTATTCGTGGGGACTTCTGTGTCCAAGTTGGAAAGTAAATTTTAAAACATTTGGTATCACTCAAAAGCACTAAATGCTAAGTGTTATGTCATGATATCTACAGGAACTGTGCTCCATCCTTCTGTTTTACACATGGAGCTGCCATTCTCTGTGCCCATGACATATTAGTGTCTAAGGATACAGATCAAGTCATGGTTGTCCCCATTGACAAAAATGAGGAGCAAAGCTGGCACTGCCTATGCTGTGTCTTTTCGTACTTTACTGTTACTTAAAGCTTCTGTCCATAGTGGGAATCACTTCAAAACAAGAAGCTTACTTTACTTTAAGAATTCCTTTTCTCTTTTATTCACCTTTTCTTTTCCTAGGAACATCATTCATGGCAGTGATTCTGTGGAAAGTGCTGAGACAGAGATCAATTTATGGTTCACTCCTGAAGAACTGGTTGATTACAGAAGCTGTGCTCATGAGTGGATCTATGATTAACACCCAGCCTGGATCTTCTGATATTCCCATGTCCATAAGCAGCTGCTAGCCTCTAGCTATTTCAAAGAATTCCCTGGTAGAAACCTCAGAAAACAGTGAAATTGCTCTGTTGTGGATGTCAGGGTCAGTGCTTGCTGCTCCTTTGATTTAAAAGTTGTCAAGTTATAGATGGAATTGCACATTTTAAAAGCTGCTTCTGGGACTGAGAGATATGAGATGAAAACACAGAATAGATAACATATATTTTTCTGAAGCATTTTATAGTCATAGAGTGTATTTTGGTAAACACGATAAAAATGGGTAAAAATTTATTTGGTAAATAAATATGCAAATGGCTCAGAGTCAGAGGTTAACTTTGCTAAAACATTACAGGACAACTGATGGTGTGTAAATGCATTGATAATATGCCCAAATGCTGAGGATTTACTTAATATTAAGTCAAGTGTGTCCCCATTCCTAAAATGGCTGCAGAAAAAAAAGCTCATTTCTCTCCCCAGAACATGCTGTGCCCATAAAGAGCTCAGCTCTGGCTAAAATGACAACTGGCCTCCACGCTGACACCGTTTCAACTCACTCTTTTTTCCTTCCACATGGGATTTATGTAGTATTTTAAGGACTGATTAACCAGCCAGGCTTGATGAAATGTTCTTTTATGTGAAAAGAAGATTAATGTGAGGATGGATGAGGGAGATTCTACCCTTAGCCACTTCAGTGCAGCAGCTCTCTGACATTGCACAGAGCAATAAGTGGTGTTTGCTTTGCCGGCTGAACAACAGGTAATTTAGCTGTGTTCTCATTAGTGTAGTTTCCTCAGTAGCTGGAACTTCAAAGCAAATCCTTCTTGGATAAGTTGTTTTAGAAGTGACTTCATCACTATCGTTTTGTATTAAATGATGTAAAGAAGTAGAGTCATAATAATGCAGAAGGTGTTTCAGTTTCAACAGCGAAAGTTGTACTGGATGAGGAAGTTGGGATTGATATTATGTATTTATTTCTCTGCAACATTTTATTCACTAAGAGCAAGAGTTTCACGGAATCAGTTGCTCAAGCTCCGCTATTTTTTCCCCCAAAGCGAATTCTTGTATCTGAATACTGAACTATGCAGTGAATGTTGAATGGAAGGCTCATGATACCTTATGGTGATATCAAGCTCCCAAAAAGAGATGGCACAAAATAAAACAATATTTGCTGTTTCTTAAGTGAAATAAAATGAAATCTTAAATATTTTGTCTTTAATTGACGAGTATAAGGAAGTGTAACAAATTCTCTAACTATGAAGGTGTAGGTGAAGCTGTGAGCCCCACTTCTGAAACTATTCAATGTTATAGAAGATAAATCACTCGGTTAAAAGAAGTTGGAGGAAAGGGAATATGTGGCAAACCTGAGCATGAGATGAGTGGTCTCCAGTTTAATCTTTGCTTGAAAGGTTACTTGAGACATCTCAATTCTACAAAATAGAGAATTGTGCTTTATCTGGAGGTGCTTGGGTTGTCAGGAAGCTGCTGATTAGTGTTTCTAATATGATGCAACAGGGAAGAGGTGGAAGCCAGCAATCCTGCATAGCTGAGGTACTTGAGCAGGTCCAGCGTGAAACCACTAACTGACCCTGTGAGGACACTAACTGGCCCCTCAATAAGAGACAGTGCAAGGACTGCAGAGGTTATTTCATTCATATCCTAGCTGCAGTGATGGTGTGTGATTATAACTTGCTCAGGCAAAGGCGCTTATCAACTAGGAAAGGGCCAAGCAGTAAACATCATAAAAAGTAACAACACACTCCCCGCTTCATGTTGTGACACAGGTTCAGGGACTGTGAGGTTTTGACACTTGGCAGCTTCATCTTCCCAATGAAATTATCAATAATGTTCCTGTGTTACAGGTACCACATCACTTTTCTGTGATAAATATGCTTTTGAAGAGCTGTAGCCGTGCTGTGCAGTGCAGCCTGGTTGGCAGGACCAACCCTCAGGCCGCGGGGACACCTGAAAGCAGCCAACTCAGCAAAAAATTAGTAAAAATTTATTTAGTTGTGTTAAACATCCGCCAGCGTTTCAGTGCCTTAAAGGCTTAAGCCACAGTTGCTGCGTCTGTAAATAACCGTCGAGGCGGCGGAGGCGACAGGTGCGGCCAGGGCTGGCCAAGAGCCACCCCGCGGTCCCTGGGCCCCGAAGCGGCCGCTCTCCGGTCTAGTCCCACTTCATCCCGGCCCGGCCCGGTTCCGCTTGGCGCTGGCGATCCCGCCCCGGAAGCGCCGCCGACCCGGCGGCTCCTCCTCTGCGCAGGGCGGGGGATCTGCGGCGTGCACGCCTCGTCCTGCGCCTCTTCCTCCGGCGGCAGCAGTGCGGAGGGTAGCGGCGGCGGCAGCTCCGGATAGGTGAGTCCGGGCCGGGTCGGGCCCCGCGCTCCAGGGGCATGGGGGGTGCAGGCGGAGGGGCCCGGCGGGGTTCGGCGGGGCCGGGCCGGGCTCGGTGGGGCCGGGGGGACATTCCGTGGCGGTGCCGCGTGGCAGGGCGGTACCGCCATGGCCGTCGCCGACCTTGAGGCCGCGCGTCCCCTCACGGCGCGCTCCTGCCCGCAGCGCCATGGCGGGGAACAGCGAGCGCACCTTCATCGCCATCAAGCCCGACGGCGTCCAGCGCGGGCTGGTCGGGGAGATTATCAAGCGGTTCGAGCAGAAAGGGTTCCGGCTCGTAGCCATGAAGTTCGTACACGTGAGTGCCCACGCCTTGCCCCCCAACCCTGTCCGTGCCCTGCCCGAGAAGGGCTCACCATACCCGTACCGAGAATCTCCCCTTGCGGCTTCTCCTGCGGCAGAACTGGGATCAGATGGCGCCTGTGCTGGAGCGCGCGTCAGGCCCTTCCTCCCCGGCACACAGCTTCTACCCTTTCCATAACCAGCGAATTTTGCTTCAGAGGTTTAATGCAGCCCGACTGAGAGGTGGAATGGCCTAGGCTGAAAGGTTGTGTTGGGTAACATCACCCCGGGACCTCGTGCTCCCCGTACTCTGCTTATTGCAGAGGCTCACTGCCGTGCAAAGAAATCATATTGACAATTCCCAGCACAGCCACAAAGAACTCCTTTAATATTACAGCAGGAGCTCACACTGATACACACAATAGCACTGCAGCATTGTTGGTAACATGAATTGTGAATCTAATCACTAAGGCCGCGGTCTTACATCTGTAACACCTTTTGTTCAATGACATTCAGAAAATGATATTTAAAGTTAAATCTGTCCTTTTGAAGGCCTCTGAAGACCTTCTCAAACAACATTACATTGACCTGAAAGACCGCCCCTTCTTCCCTGGTTTGGTTAAATACATGAACTCTGGACCTGTTGTGGCCATGGTAAGTGACTTCATTTTAGTTTAAGATTACTTTCTTAAATATATTTTTCTTGCTCTATAAATTATTAAGAATATTTAGAGATGGTGCTGCAGAAATATTTTTTTAAACTACCTTGTTCTGATAGTGACAAAAGAAAAAATTAAGACAGTGAAATTTCTATATAATAAGAAAAGTGCTCATATAAAATGGGTATTAAAATGCTCAATGTATAAATGTATAAAGCAAAATTCCTGAAAGCAAATCTTCTGTGCCAAAAAATCTGTTTTGGGCCAAAAAAAGGTCAGGCTCTCTGACACAAACTTCTGTGTCATATATTTTTACATTCCCCCCAAAACAAGGTACTTGCTCTAGTAGCATCTCCTGGTGTGATAATGACAGAGGAGAGAACACTCAGCAGGGTGTCCCTGTTCCACAACACAAAAGGTTGGGAGTTCGCTTTGTACATTAACTTCCAGTTCAGTTGTTTTTTTCCCTTGTCACCTTTACAAGCCCAAGAGATAATCTAGGCAAGGTTAATATCTTTAATGGTAGAACCTTTCTTTGCAATGTATGGTGGAGCAAAGCTGAACTGTCAGTATTTTGCATAAGCATGGCTTAACAGAATTTTTGTGTTTTTTATCTTAAGGTATGGGAAGGACTCAATGTGGTTAAAACTGGCAGAGTAATGCTGGGGGAAACCAACCCTGCAGACTCCAAGCCTGGCACCATCCGTGGTGATTTCTGCATTCAAGTGGGAAGGTTTGTACTCAGTCTGTTAAAACAACTCCTACTCGCTGTTTACCTGCCAACACAAAAACTGTTGGCAGTCTTTTATTTTGGAAAACCAAAACTGGTGGTAGAGACCTTAGTCTGATTGTATTTTATTTGCAGGTCACAGTGCATATCTGCTACTTAGGAAAGTGGTACAAAGCTGACTTTGTTTGCAGTCCAGCTCTTCCCCAAAGCAGCATGTAAGCTCAGGCAGGGGCTGTTGCAGAACAGTAGCTCTAGAGTGACCCTGATAGGCATAACTAGCTCTTGGAGGGGTGGGGTGTTGGAACACTCTACCTGAAATAACAGCAGTAGTCTCCCCACTCTAGATGCTTCATCCACATTTTTGCAAACTGAGAACAAGGCTGCTGGAGGTGTATTTTTATAGGGATCAATGTTTGTCTCCTTCCACAGGAACATCATCCATGGCAGCGACTCTGTGGAGAGTGCACAGAAGGAGATCAACCTGTGGTTCAAACCCACAGAGCTCATTGACTTCAAGCCGTGTGCACATGACTGGATCTATGAGTGATGGGTTCCCACAGTGATTTGTGCCTTCCAACACCTCATCTCATTCCAGCTGCTGCCCTGGGAGCAACCACAGTTATCTTAGTGCTGAAAGTGACTGTCAAATAAATGGGTGTGAACTAATTCCTTGTGGTGCATTCACTTACAACAGACCCCCTGTTCAAATACTCATAAAAGTAATTTTAATCATTCAGGAGCCACTGACATGTGACCCTGGCACAGCTGTTGGACTCAAGCAGCAGCAACTTTGCAGAGAGAGAGCTGAAGTGAGGCTGGAGCTACTTCCAACACAGCTAGAAGAAAAAAGGGATACCACAAAATTTTCTCCTTACACAAATATTAATACTAAATGAAATGAGACTGAGTGCAAAGCTTGCTCTCTAAAATGCTTATGGAATTCACCTTCTCTTATCAAACCCCTTACCTTGTGCTCAGGGCCCCACACCATTTGTCGTCACACCAACATACTTAAAATACTCATATTATCACAGATTGTGGGTATTTTTAATAAGGTTAAGAGTGTAAGCAAAACAATCACTATTCAGAAAAAGACTTTTAATCATTTTTATTTTGTGTAAAAAAGGCAAATTTAGTGAATTATTTTTATCTTGTACACAAAGTTATGATTTAATGCTTTTCACATCCATGCTGAAAATCCGCAGTCTTGTAAAAATGAAAGTAACATTAATTTTTCCAAAAGCATTTTTTCACTGAGTTATGTACATTGCATGAGAAAGCTTTAAATACTCCCTCACTGACCACACAAATTACAAAGAAAATAAAAGATTAAATTTGTACAGATATTGATCTATATATCAAATACATACAGAAATTATGTAAAAACCCATTTGTTTATTCTTGATTCTTGCCCCCAGCATTTTTCCAGGGGCCAAAGCTGATGCCTTTTTTGTATAAATGGCTGTGGCTTTTAATTTTAAATATGAAAAAAAATCAAAAGGAAGAAAAATTCAGCTAAAATCACAGTTTTTTTAAAATCCCTTCCTAATAAAGGATTGTTACCAAATGTGTTAGCACCATCATACAAAGATCGAGGGAGGGTATTCACATCACAGAAAACAACAATAAAAAACCCAAAACAAACACTGCAACCCGTGTTAGCATCCATAGAACAAGGAATCAGTAACTGCTGTAGCTTTCCTCAGATGCAGCAAGGAACAGGTTAAGAGAGTTCTACTGAAAATAATGTAATAATCAAAGATCAGCAGAGAGATCTGGAACAAGAAGGACAGCAGCCAAGTTGGGGACAGGGCTTGGGCTGCCTCATGGTCGGAAAAAGCTGCTGTGCCCAATGCCAGCATTAGTCCAACCCCATTGAAGGTTTTAGGTGTCCAACATTTGCTGCTCCCTCAGGCAGGTACTACAGCTTGAAAGCCATGAGAAACATCCCAGAGCCACAGGAATGCTTTGCAAAGCCAGGGAGCTGCCACAGCGACACCCCTCAGGTTCTCTGGGGACCACATCCCTGGTAGCACCTTGCTCAGGTTTTCCCTGAGCTGCTCCTCAGCAAGTGACTTCCAGCAGCTCCTTCCATGGTT